AAATAGTTTACGGCTCTATTTATGAAAGATAAAACCTATGGAATAGTACTTTTTAAGTGGGAAGGGCACTTGTAAGTAATTTCCAAACAAGTAAATTATAGTGATTCAAAAACAACCTTAATGTAGTTTCCCTTATGGACCATGGAGATGATAGGCAAGCATGAGACATTTAAAAAATTTTGGGGACCATTGTACTAATTCCCATAGCAAATTTGGTTGAGGGAGTTGAGAAATGATTTAGAAAAGAAAAGGGAAAATGTGTGTGAAATTAGGTGAAATGTAAGTATGTTTTATTTATATTTCACCTACATTTTCCCTTTTCCTTTTCAAATCGCTTCCCAAATCCCTAATCAAACACAACGTTAGGGTGATTCTATTTGCACCCAAATAGTAATTCAGTACGCTTAACTAAAATTTTAATTCTTATTATACCCTATTGTAAATTTACTAAAAATGACAATACACATTAAATTCTAAAATAAAATATTATTTTTTTTCTCATGGTACACTCTATTCTTCATTTTCAAGTTTTTTCATCTTCTTTCAATGTTTCAATAATTTTCTTTTTATCTTCTTTCTTATTTCAAAATTTCAATCCACTCCACCAAAACTCATAATTATCATTAATATCATTATTTTTTTATTGTGTTGTTATATGGGTTATTTAACCTTTGTTCTCCTAATTGTTGTTTTAGGTTGACTGTAATGTCAAGAAAACTCATCAAATTTATGAAGAAAACTCATCAAATTTGACTATAATCACGCAAATGTTTTTAAAAAAATTGGATAAACGGTATGTGTTATCTCTATTGCCCACATCTTTTATGTTAATTATGATATTCCAGTCCCCAACCCTCTTCCTTACTTTGTTCTTCAATCATCGTGGCTCTCTCTGCCCAAGACATAAATGTTTAAGCCATTGCGTCTCATTCCCTCTTTACCCTTTTTCTCTCTCCATAACCTACAAGATCTACATCTTCAAGGTTCTGAAGCAGGTTCATCCGGCCATCGGGATCTCGAGCAAGGCCATGGGGATGAACAAGCAGCTGGCCCTTAATCTTATTAAAATGCTTGCTTAATTGCACTTCGTTGAGATTTTTGATTTGTTTATTTGGGTCTAGCTTGAAGGGTAATTTGAGAAAAAGTATAGGGTAGATTGAAAGTAAATTATAATTCTAATTAATTTAATATGGTGTAATGAGAAATTGGTCATACTTAATGATTTTTTTTAGTGCAAATAGAATTTCTCTATATTTAGTGGATTTTTTAGGGGAAAATTACCATGTAGTCCTATGTGGGGGGATCTATTTCCCTTCTAATCCCAATTTATTTTTAATAGATGAATAGGTCCACAGTTTTTTAAGTTTTATACCCAGAGGTCCCGTTTTTTATTTTCGTATTTTTAAATGACTGTATTACCCTTTGTTTTGATATCTATATGTACATGAAAAATCAAATTTTTGCTCCGTTTAAAAAAAGGAAATCAAATCTTCGTCTGCGCGATCTCGATTTCTCTTCGTTGTGGCGATCTCATTGTGCTGTGTGGTCGATCTCATTGTGCTGTGAGGTAGATCTGGTTGTGCGATTTGAATCTCTGTGTACAGGCGATATCTGCGTACGTTGTCTCTCTCTCTCTCTCTTTCTCTCTCTCTGGTGATAGAGATATATGTATGTGTATGTATGTATCTGTCGATACATAGATATACATATATATGTATATATATATATATGTATTTGTATATATATTGCATTTTCTTGACAACAACACCTTCACTTCACCTATCGTTTGAAAATAATTTAATTTTTTAATAAGTCATTAGTTACATATATTCATAGAGGGAGATTTGTGGCGAGATGATTGGGTCGGGGTTAAATCAAGTCCTTGTCATGGACTGGGCTACAGTTTGCAAGGTTGCAATAATACCATCAACATTCAGGTGAGCAAACGGCAAACATCGCCAGACCGAGCAATTGTTTTCGCATGTTTGGCAGACTAGAATTGGTCTAGAGCTACATTAGCACGAAATGAAGAGGCTACCAAACTACGTTAGCTCGGCGTGGCACTTGTTCTTGGCAGCATCAAGGTTGAGTCATTTGCATGTTGGGTAAGCGACGGGGCTGATGATTTGCTCGGTTGTCGACCAAAGAGTTGTAATACACTTTCTTTAGTGATGAGAGTGTTAAAAATGGGCATTATCTTTTAGGAAGATGCATTATAGTAGGATTCTAGGAAAGGGAATTAGCAAGGATGTAAATTTGGCTCGACCTGGCCCAGCCCACGTCAGGCCTCGCGGGCTCCAGCCAAAATTTGGGCTGGGCCAAGCTAGTCTATGGACTAGAAAATTAGGCCCAAGCCTAGGGGATATTTGGGTTTTGGGCGAGCTTGAACATTTTTTTTTTGTTTTTTTTTAAAATTTTTTCTACCAAGATTTTATTATTTTCCATTAAAAAATACATTGGGCCTCAGGTGGGCCAGGCCTTGAGTGGATTTTAAGCAGGGCGATGGGCGAGACTAGGTGGGCCGGGCTTCAAATGATGGCCTAGGCCTAGGGTCTCAAGCTAGGCTCGGGTCCGAATGGGCCTAAATGGGCTAGGTCCACCCCGGGTTTCAATGAATGAAAAATTTTGCTTCAACATTTTGCAGTTTTAAAAATTATTAGAAACAAGCTGATGAAACTGAAAAATTTTGCAGTTTGAAGAATTATTAGAATCAACCTTTACTGTATGAAAATATATGCAACCACAAACAGGTAGACAAACAATCAAAAGAAGAACCACAATAATAATAATAATAAGAAGAAGAGCAACAACAAAATCAATCATTTTCACCCTCGTCCTATTGAAGTTAAAAAAAAGTTGAAGAAGCAATATGGTATAGATGTTTCTTATCGGGTTGCATGGTTAGGAGTTGATAAGGCAAGAGGTGGGTTGTTTGGTGATTTTGCAACTTCTTTTGACCAGCTTCGATGGTACCTTGAGACGGCTTTGAGAACGAATCCGGGAAGTGTGTTTCAATTAGATGTGGATGAAAGTAGTGGGTGTTTTCGGAGGTTGTTTGTGGCATTTCATGGATGTTTGTATGGCTTTCAATTTTGTCGTCCGTTGTTGTTTATTGATGGTACATTTTTGAAGGGGCGTTACAAGGGGCATTTGCTTGCAGCAACATCAAAGGATGGTAATCAAAGTATGTATTTATTTGCAGTTAGTATTGGTTTAGTTTGTCAGTGTGTTATTGTATTGTGAGTCTGCTAATTTTTGCAGTTTCATGTGGTTTTGTTTGCAGGTTTGTTTCCTTTGGCTTTTGCGATTGTTGACGCTGAAAATCAAGATAATTGGATGTGGTTCTTAAGTCAGCTGTTGAAGGCTGTTGGTTCAGGCCGGAGATTGACTTTTGTGTCGGACCGTCAACATGGATTGCTAGACGCTCTTTCGGTGGTTTTCCCCAATGCACTTCATGCGTATTGCTTGAATCATTTGAAGAGAAATTTGATTGACAAATTGGTGGGACTTCGTACTAACTATAAGCTGTGTTTGATGAAAATATTAGTTAAATGTGCTTATGCGCCAACGGTTGCTTCTTTCCAGCATTATATGGAGAAATTGAGGCGTATTGCTGGGAATGGTAAAGTTGATAGTATGTTGGATGGTTTGCAAAATGATAAGTGGGCCAATGCATTTTTTAGAGGGAAACGATATGGTGAGATGTCATCTAATGCTGCCGAGTCTTACAATAATTGGATTGGTGGGGCCCGTGAGTTGCCTATTACTGGTATGGTTGATATGATTAGGGTTCAAATCATGACTCAATTGTCAGATAGAAGAGCTGAATCTAGAAGATGGACTACGAAATTGTGTCCAGTTATGGAAAAGAAGTTGGTGGACTCTTTGGAGCTAGCTAAGTCTTGGGATGTGATTGTTGCTAGTGATACTGTGCTTGAGGTTCATTCTTCTATTTCTTTTTATGTTGATATTGGTAGACAGACTTGTTCTTGCCATGAATGGAAATTGAATGGTTTTCCTTGTTGTTATGCTGTGCATGCTTTGCGTAGTAGTGGTAGAGATGTGTATGGTTTCATTGATCCTTTTTTTCATGTAGATTGTTTTAGAGAGTCATACAAGGAATCTGTTTATCCAGTGCCTTCAAGTGAGAGATTTGACTTTGATGGTGCCAGTAGTTCGGTTATCAAACCTCCTATAACGAAGAAGCAGCCCGGGCGGAACAAGAAGAAGAGGATACCTTCAAGGGGTGAGAATGTGAAGCAAATCAAGTGTGGGAGATGCTTGAAATATGGGAATCACAATAAGAAGACGTGCAAGGCTGCTATTTGAGGCCGCAATCTATTCTTTTGGATTTGTATTTGAAGTTGAGGAATTATGATAATAAAATATGATACTTGGTATTATGGAAGTAATGAATAAAGTTGGTTGAATTGTTTTTTGTTTGTTGATGTGTTCTTTACTTATTGAAGTTGTTTTCTAACAGTCTGGTTTTGTTTTTTATTTTTATGGAATGCAGAGAAAGTTGTTGAAAATTTCTTATTGAAACAGTATAATATGGAAAGGCAGTTCATATTTCATAGTGATAAAACTGTATAATTTTGCAGTTTTAAGAATTATTTAGAAACAACCTGATGAAACCGCATAATTTTGCAGTTTTAAAAATTATTAGAAACAAGCTGATGAAACTGAAAAATTTTGCAGTTTGAAGAATTATTAGAATCAACCTTTACTGTATGAAAATATATGCAACCACAAACAGGTAGACAAACAATCAAAAGAAGAACCACAATAATAATAATAATAAGAAGAAGAGCAACAACAACATCAATCATTTTCACCATAACCATGATAACCAGAAAAAGATCATTCCCAAAAGTATATAAAGTACTTGTCACATGTTAAAAAAGAAAAATAAAAAAAAAAAGTTCAAAGATATGTTCCCTTGAATATTTGTATTGTTAAGAAGTTTGTTCATTGTTTCTATGGTTTGGTATGTTTTGTCAACATTTGGTAGTGCTCGAGTTTCCAAGATCGGTTCTCATCATTGAGGAATTGATTGATGATTTGTGCTCGAAATTTGACCCACTCAGTTGGACGAAGTTTTTCTGCACAGGTTGCCAGTTGAGATATTGGTTGATAACATTGCAGACGGCAATTGCACAATCATTCCTGCAATGTTTGAGATGAAGTTAATTAGTTAGGTGAAACTGCAAAAATTAGCATATTGGAAGATTAGTTTATGGATTTTGTATCTTACGAGTGTGGGGTTTGTTGTGGGCATTCCTCAATTGATGCAATTTCTGTCTCGCACTCTTGAGATGAAAACATGTTTCCCTGTTTGCTGAGTAATGCTTTATTCCATCTCAGTTGATGTTGTTGCTACAAAATAGTTAGTGGGTGTTTTTGTTAGTTATAGTGATGAGTTGAGATGTTTGTAAAGGGATGGAACTAAGTATGAAATTTTATTTTAACTTACAATTTGCTTTGCAATTTCAAAGTGCTTGTTATGGCAATCTTTTGCTGGTCTCAACGAGTCATAGTGTCTCCATATTCCATCAGCATTGTCAAAGACCACAATTGTCCAATGGTTGTCGTGGTTGATTGGGAAATGGATATATCTGTTTTTCATTGCTTCTGGAAAATGGCTGTCCATCAGTTTTTCTCTCAGTGCTTGATCTTGGTTTTGTAGTGGAGTCTGTAAGTTATATATATGTTTGAAATATGTTATAAAACTATGTAGTAATACATGTTGATAAAGTAGAAAATTTTGCAGTTGTAAGGTATGTTAAGTTTTGCTTACATTGATGAGTGTTGAGAAAACGTAAGATCTTCCTGCATATGGATTGCTTGCAAAGACTAGATCGTTTTTCTCAAATTCTTCAATGGTTGGTTGGAGTGCCAATAGCTTTTCTGAGAAGGCATCAATGACCTGAAACATGTTATATATGAAAATGTGTTAGGTTTGTGGAATAGGTTATTGAATATGTACAGAAACTATAAAATTGTGCAGTTGGAGACCTACATTCCCATATAAGGGTTCCCTGTTGGCCAATCTGCATATATCTGAAAAGTATACGCAGTTTTCATCTTCACTGCCAGACCAGACACAAGCACTTGATTGTGTGTTGTTGATGAGTTGAATTTAGTCTGGGTCTTTTTTGGATAGGCTATGCCAAACCTTGTTTGTTTTGCGACATGAAATGGCGAGTGGCTTGTTTGGGATTGATTCTTCCTAGAAATCATCATCACTTTCCAATACTTGAAGATTTGTCTTCTTTTGATTGGCATGCTCTTTTGGGTTTGTTTCAGCAGCAACTGGTTTCTCTTGGCCAATATGTTCTTGCATCTTTTCTTTCTGCTGTTGTTTTGCTTCATGAGCACCCTCTGTTTTGTTGTCATTCTTCTTCTGTTTTTCTTCATTGGTACCCTGTGTTGGTTTGGGTACATCAGCAGCAGTTTGTGTCTTGTTTGTTGCATCTTCTTTGGGTTTGGTCATTGGTTGGTATTCAAAATCTGGGTCATGTGCTTGTTTTCTTGATTTTTGTTTGATTCTCTTGACCATGGATCTTTGTTGGGGACTGCCAGTTTTTTTGGTGGACATTTCCTTCAACTGATCTTCTTTTTTACGCAATTCAGCCATGAATTTTTGTTCCATTTCTTGCATTTGTGCTCTCAGGGCTGATATGAGCTTGTCCTTGTCGTCCTCTTTGGTTGGTGTTTGTGGTTGGTCATGACCTATAAAAATGTTGGATTGTGTTTTGGTTAGTTTAATGAAATTTTGCAGTATGCTTTAGTATTAGACAATAGTTTACCTTGTGCATGAAATATGTCAGATTTCTCTTGCAGTTCTTCTTGTTGGTTTGTCAGTTCGAGTAATTTAATGTGAATTTTTTGAGTAATTTACTGAGAATTTTGTTTGTAATTTTCTAAGAATTTACTAGCAATTTAATCAGAATTCACTGAGTAATTTTCTGAGAATTTACTGAGTAATTGACTGGAAATTTTTTGCGAAATTTACTTAATATTTATTGAGAATTTACTGAGATTTTACTTGAAATTCACTGAGTGAATTCACTGAGAATTGGCAGAGCAATTTACGGAGAATTTACCTTTAATTGTTTGAGTAATTTACAGAGAAATTTACTGTGTAATTTACTAACAATTTACTTAGTAATTTACTGGGAATTTATTGAGAATTTACTTAATAATTTGCTGAGTAATTTATTAAGAATTTGCTAGTAATTTACTGAGAGTTTACTAGGAATTCACTGAGTAATTTATTTGGAATTTATTGATTGTTTTACTAACTATTTTCTTAGTAATTTACTAAAAATTTACTGTGAATTCTTAGAGAATTTACTGAGAATTCACTGAGTAATTTACCGAGAATTTACGTAGTAATTTACTGAGAATTTAACGGGAATTTACTGAGTAATTTACTGTTAATTTATTGCGAAATTACTGAGTAATTTACTGAAAAGTTACTGAGTAATTTACAGAGTAATTTACTCATTATTTTTATCAGTAATTTACAGGGAATTTATTGTGTAATTTGCTTAAAATTTTCTAAGTAATTTCCTGAGAATTTAATGGGTATTTTCTAAGTAATTTACTAAGAATTTACTAGGATTTTACTCAGAATTTATTGTGAATTCACAAAGAATTTATTAGAAATTTTCTAAAAATTTAATGAGCAATTTACTGAGAATTTACTAAGTATTTTCTTAGTAATTTACCAAGAACTTTCGGGGAATTTTCTGAGAATTTGCTAAATAATTTACTGAGAATTTACGGAGCAATTTACTGAGAATTTACACTGAATTTACAAAATAATTTGCGTAGAATTTACTGTTAGTTTTCTGAGAAATTATTATGAATTCTCCGAGTAATTTTCTGAGTATTTACTGGGAATTTATTAGGAATTCACTGAGTAATTTACAAAGAATTTACTGAGAATTTACTTGTAATTTACTGAGAATTTTCGTAGAATTTGCTCTGCATTTGACTGCGATTTACTTAGCAATTTACTAAGAAATTTACTGAGAATTTGCAGAGTAATTTATTGAGGATTTTGTTGTGTAATTTGATGAGAATTTACTGAGTGATTTACTATGGAATTTTTTGAATAATTTACTGAGAATTTAATGAGTGATTTATTAAAAATTTGATGAGTAATGTACTGAGAATTTTCTGGGAATTCACCAAGTAATTTACGTAGAAATGACTGAATAATTTGTTGGGAATTTACTAAGTAATTTACTGAGAATTTTGTTTGCAATTTTCTAAGAATTTACTAGCAATTTAATCAGAATTCACTGAGTAATTTTCTGAGAATTTTCTGAGTAATTGACTGGAAATTTTTTGCGAAATTTACTTAATATTTATTGAGAATTTACTGAGATTTTACTTGAAATTCACTGAGTGAATTCACTGAGAATTGGCAGAGCAATTTACGAAGAATTTACCTTTAATTTTTTGAGTAATTTACAGAGAAATTTACTGTGTAATTTACTAACAATTTACTTAGTAATTTACTGGAAATTTATTGAGATTTACTTAATAATTTGCTTAGTAATATATTAAGAATTTACTGAGAGTTTACTGAGAATTCACTGAGTAATTCATTTAGAATTTATTGATTGTTTTACTAACTATTTTCTTAGTAATTTACTAAAAATTTACTGTGAATT